CCAACAAGTCATCAGTCTTAGGTTCACCGTTTTTTATTGCATGCTCTCTCTGTTCAATCATACTTTTCAGTCTTGCAACAACCTCCCTGTAGATTTCATTTCTTCGCCTGTTCTTTTTGGTGGGTATAAATCTACAACTCAAAAATACTGGTTATATTTATCCAACTAGATGTCAAGATCAACTGAAACTAAAAATAACAAAATTTCACCAGAATAAATTAAATTTAACTCTATATAACTATTCCTTCTAATAAGTTCAGTTGAATCAATTAATTACTCTAAACTAATCGACAAATAAGGAAATGAAGACAGCCAAGTGTTCAATCAAAAGAGACATAGATGTGTTCAATGTTAAGAATCTTTCTTAAGAGAAGCAAATTGTTGCTTCATTGCGAAGAAAAATGATTCACCAATATTCAACGTAAACTTTCACTAAGGATTATATATGGATACATTAGAAGAAGAAAATAGAGCATTAATTTTCATTTAGTCATCTGGATGGATTCTCATAATTTTTCTTCATTTTTATTAAAAATAATAAATGATAATTAAAATTAAGATGTTGTAATGTATGAATTTTGTGCATTTGCAAGACAGTGCATCTCAATATAGATTTACATTAAAAAATTCTAATTCTAGGAAACACTTTATTTTCCTTATATAAGCAATATATTTGATTTGAAGGTTTTTAGAAGAGTTTCTTCCCTTATATAAGCAATATATTTGATTTGATAGCTTTAATTCTTCAACTTTATGCTCTATCATCAAAATAAGCCATCAAAACTTCGTGTGGGAGGTCAGTGCTCTTGAATTGATATTATTTGAGCTTTATAATTGACCATTTACAATCGAACTTTTAACAAGCACAAGATTTTGTTACATATTTCTAACCATAGTTTCTATTAGAAACAGTTGATTTTCTTCATATATATTTTTTATTTTTGCTAAAAAATAATTGACAAGTGCTAAAAATCAAGAGTTTGCGATATGTGACTTAAGTGTTTACATGATTTTACGTTTTATATTGTAGGTATGAAATAAATAATTCTAGACCCGAAGAATCTTGTAGCATAAGATTAAACAACTTAAACAATATGATAATTATTTTCAAAAAAATAGCAAAAGAAATGTACCTAAAACCAGGAATATACAAATTACGAGCAGCCTGGATTACAAGCTCAGCTTGCTCTTTCTGTAGTTCAAAAATTCGTCGACCCTCTTTATAGCTAATACCAAATGCTGTTCGGGAGATTGCATCTGCAGAAAATTTTTGGAATTCGCACCAAACATCTATTTCAAACACACCTGAGCTGAACTATCAGCCAACTCCTCCCATCGACTTATTAGCTCATCACAACAAGCAGAAAATAATGGCATCATCATCTGTATGAACACAACAATGATAATATAACTAGAAGGCCTAAATTTCAATTTCTTGATCCATGCCAAATTCATACCACAAAAAAAAAAAAGTACCTTCAACTTCTCAACATGGAAGGCTGGGTTAATGATTCCCCTATGCTTAGCCCATTTCTCACCTTCATAATTTACGACCCCCAGAGTTAGTAGCCTTACAATTGGCGTTGATCTTAGCTTCTCAAAGTGACCAAATTTACTATAAAGAATGTCCTTTACGAGCTCGGGATCCATGATGATCACCCTAGGGCAAGGCCCAAACCAAAAAAATTGCACCTTATTCTTACCTGTATGTTTTTTTTTTTTTCAAATACAACATAAAACAAAAAATAAGCCTTTTGATTCCAAACACCCCCTTTGACAAATTTATAAACGCACCACAAAATTTTTATGTATTTATATCTTAAATAATACATATTTTGATATTTACTTATTTATCACTTGTTATTTTAAAAAATTGTTTTTTCTGGAATTCAGCTCAATCCAGGTTTTCCTCTAAGCTTATTTGAACAAAAGTAAGAGTAAGCCAAAATAATCCTTGGCTTAAGGATCTAGTTTATTCAAAAATCACCCAAATAAAAAATTATTTAAAAACCACAAATATTAAATCATAAAAATCAATCATATGATAATCAATTAATACATAAATTTTTATAACGAAAAACTAACAAATCATTAAGAATTAATCAAGATTTTAATTAAGGGTGATAATATTTATAAGGATTAATTATGATACTTTAAATATTAAATAAACTTCAATAATTATAAAAAGATTGTTACAAATTTATTAATATATAAATACAAAAAGAAAATATATAATAAATACTTAAATTGTATATAAAATTTAATGATAAAATTAATTAACTCATTTTGACTTATTAACTATTAATCAAGATTTTAATTAGCTTTAATAATATTTTATATGCATCAACTATGATAAATTTTAAAGAATAAATAAATACATTATTAATCATAATTAACATGTACTAATTTCTTAAGATTAATTAAATTTTATTATTAAATTTTATTAATATAAATAATATTTTATTATTTTTATAGTTTAATAACTAGTTAGAAATAATTAATTAATCGCATAATCAATCAAAATAATAAAACAGCAACTATAAATCATAATTAATAATAGTTTTAATAATTAAGGTAATTCGAATATAATTAAAAATTAAAATATTTTTGATTAGCTAATATTTAAATAATATTTATTAAACGTAATTCATATCTAATTACAAATAATGATATCAGTATAGATTAAGAAAATTATATCAGATTATCCCTATTAAAAAAATTTTAGGATGGGTTTTAAAAGTTTTTAGTCTATTATAATCGGTTTAAAAGATAAATAGAATAAATAAATAATCTGTATTGCACTTACCTTAAAAAGCTATTTTCAAATATTTTAAAATTCATCTCCACTAAAAGCTTGATCATGATATCCTAACAATTTATTTTTCATAAATTAATCAAATAAGTTTAAGCGGATACTCAATTAAATGATTTTTTTACGCTTATCTTCATTTCACCCATTAAAACCGCTCACTGTTTCATTTGTGTTAAGATTAAGCTTGCCCAAAGTTTCTTTCAGCTTACAGTTGCTCCGAACTCCAAAGTTCCACTCAAGAGAGAAGCTCCACAAATTGAGGAAGGATTTGGAAGGAGATTTTCGGCTGCTATCTTTGTGAATGGAGGACGGTGGCCGGTCATCCTTGGATGACCGGAACACCAATACTCTTAGATCTACCGCGCGTCCAACTTTGTTGGATACAAAAGGTAGTTTTACATTCAATCGCAGCTTCCCTAGTTTTTTTAACTCTCCTCTAGTGATTAGAGAGGGAGGGTGTGCTTCTAAGAAAGCATCCTTGATGGAGAACGATAAAGGAAAAGGAATTTTGGTGGATTTGAAAAATAAGTCTTGCTCAACCTTGTCGGTTTTGATTCCTAGAGCTAATGATTTGTAGGCTTCCACTTCTAGTGATACTAACCACAATTTGAATAATAATAATGTGTGGATTAGAAAATCACACATTAAAATTAATTCAAATAAAATTCATGAAGGAAGTATAGGGGCTGGTGTGGTTAAACTTGACTTGGAAAATGAAAAATCCAATGTCCATGTTCTAAGAAATTCATTGGTAGTGAAAATCCTTTGCAAAAAATTACCCTTCTCTAATTGTGCTTTTGAATTAAGAAAGCAATGGGTTAAATTTGGAGGATTTCACAATACGTCACTTGGATTAGATTGGTTCTCAGGAGGCAATGGAGGAAGTTCTCAATGGAGGCCCTTGGTACGTGAGAGATTTTGTCGTTGGGCTAGACAAATGGACTCCCCATTTTTCTCCTCATTCCTTAGATGGAATTTCTTCTCTGATCTGGGTTCGTCTTCCTCACTTGCCGTTGCACTGTTGGGACGAAACCAACATTACGAGAATTGTTTCGAGTATAGGGACTCCATTATTATTGGATGGCAACATGTTTAGATGGGGGAGGAGGGAATTCGCTAGAGCATGTGTTCGGGTTAATTTGAACTCGAAACACCCAAGTGGTATTTTGGTTGAAGGAATTCATGGCAAATTTTATCAGAAATTTGAATATGAGAATTTATCTTCAAATGTGGAAGAATTGGACATAAAGATGTGGTATGTCAAAAGGATTTTAAAAATCTGGATTTAAATGAAAAGGATGTTCACAAAGATATTTCAATTATTGAAGATAGATCCTATGGTCCTTGGATGCACGTCAAATTCAAACCTCATAGAATTAAGAATATTAACCAGATTATTTGATCG